AACGTCTCATTTTAAGGTAACAAAAACACAATAATTGTTATATTTAGGTAATTATACACTAATTAAAAAACATACATATATATTATATTATATTCTGACAGTAGATCCTCCTCAATGTTTCACACTGGAGCTTTAAGAGGTGAAAATCATTAACGTTGATGGTAGAAACACTTTGAGCAGCTCTGGCGGTTTGAAGGATCATAGTGAAGTCAGATTAGACGACGCAGGTTGACCCGTTTTTAAACAAGTTTATCCCGGGTCACTGCGTCAGTCTGGAGGCGTATTAGCACACATGCTGGTCGACCTTTTAAGACTCCCCTGACTTAAAGAAGTTAAGTGGATTTTTTTTTTAACTTAAAAACAACCGTGATGCTTTTATTCTTTGTCTTAGTTGACAGTCGTATCCAGTGCAAAGTTATGTTATCAGGAGAATACTGGCAGTGATATTACTTCATTATTCACACACAGTTTTTCTTTATTACCTGTAACTAATAATTTATCCAACTAACACTCGATAACCAAAAGATATTCAATTTACAATAATATGAAAAAGAGAAAATCAGCAAATATTTACTTTATTTCAGTTAATTCATTGTTCATTTTTTGTTAGTTAACCAACTGGTTTTGTTCATTTTGGTGCTAAAACTAAGCTATATAAACATTTATATTAACCTTTAAATAAACAATATTATATATTGTATTCCTTCTGAAAATAGTTATTTTACATAATGTTAAAAGAAATTTTCTAAAAGACGCGTTTTGACTTTTCGACTTAAAGCTGCAGCTAACAACGACTTTAATTATGAATGAATCTACCAATTATACTCTCAATTAACCAAAAAATTGTTTGGTCCCTAAAATGTCGGGAAACTGACAGTTACAGACTTCAGATGTCGTGTTTTGTCCAATTAACCGTCCAAAAGCCACAGAAATATTTTGTTTTTTATCACTTAAGACAAAGAAAAGGAGGAAATCTGCACATTACAGAAGCTGGAACGATGAATTTCATCATAATATTACTAATTAGTTAATCAGCTAATTGTTTCAGCTCTAATTACAATTGTAGGTTTTAATAACCAGTGAGAGAATATTGTACATCAAACATTTTTGTATTGAAACATGTTTATGTGTCGTTATATTTTAAATCTCTTTAAGTCTCCAATATCCGGCACAATGTGCAGTGAAGCTGCAAAATAAACTCCCCTGTAGGTTTTGAGCTATAACGTTTTAATAACCATCCATTATAGTGTAAATATGCTCCTCCGGGGACACGAGTACTCCTTGATCTATACGGTGTGTCGGAGGGGGCTCCTTGCTCTGCATGACCTTCACTAATAGATCCTCTTACGTAAGAGGAAGACAAATCGAGGGGATTGAAGGGTTAAGGAGGATGGAAAAGAAGAAAAGCAAATGAGAGGAGACGCTGAGTGGCGTTGAAAATCAACAGCGGAGCATATGGAGGGTGAAATAAACCGCAGAGAGGAGGACGAACTGTCAGTAAATCCCTCCTCTGCACCACAACACTGCTTCACAATGTACGGAGGACCGACACCGACAAAAATAAATCAATTAATATGTTATTAAATGCACCAAAAATAATATTGAAAAAGGCATTAATTAATTTATATAATGTGTTTTAATTTGCTTCTGTATTTATTTAACTTAAAACCTTTAAAGGTCCAAGAATCGTTGTTTTCGTTACCTTAAAGCAGTTGTTTCTAACCGTTTCTATTGAGTTAACTGACGACATATTTTATGATTATTTCATTTTATATTTAACGTATAACAATAACAGTAGAGAAGAACTGATGAGCTGTACAATAAAACCAAATAGTTTATGTTAAACAAGCGATTTAATGCAGATTATTTCCTGTCAATATGGAATCAGAGATGTGTTTTCCTCCTA